AAAAAAATAAGCACAATACAAAAACCTTTATGCAACCATATTGTGGGGTTCCATGTTTATTGCGTGTGTTGGTTATGTATCCTACGGGGTACGTCCCTGAATACTCGGTTATAGCGGACATCGACAATTACGGGCTACTCCCAGTCCGTTATAACGAGAGTTTACTGTAATTCTGTAACGATAAAGATCTAAGTCACTATAACGACCTAACTTTAAAGAGATTTTTTGAGTTATCTGATTCACATTCGATGAAATTCAGAGAGCTGTTGCATATCATTTAGGTCAAAGGCGGGACGTGGCATGGTGGGAAATAAACCAGCTGTCAGAGTGATTTAGAGTCAGAGAGGGGAATCGCGCAAGAGAGTCGGTGGATGGAAAGGTATGGTTAGCAGATATAGCAAACGTGTCCATCCGTACAAGTCAAGCCTGGAAAACTTTCTCCAGAACGGATATCTGGTCCAATTCCTGGACAGTTATTGGCTCTTTGGTTTCAGAGAGTGAATGAGAGACTAAGTGGTGATGAAAAAGGAAAGGAGAGATGATCAACTGTGATGCAGAGGCGTAATGAAGATTAGGCCTCCTATAATCTCCTCTTCTACTCCACCACTGAACACCACGGCCAAAAAATAATGAAATATCACAAAATGTGGCAAAGAATGGTAATATGTCGCCATCAGATCTACCGATTTTATTATTATTATTATTATTATTATTATTTCCAGGTCCTCTCGACTCCTTGACGATACTCGATCACCACGTCATAATGAGGCTGCGCCTGTGGAGCAGAATCTGGCAAGACTCTATTGCCTGACTGAAGCAACGAAACTTGAGAACGCCTACTATGAACTTTAAACGTTAAAAGAGTTTGGATGTAATTATAGGCCTATTTGTTTCACAGTAATTAAAACAGGAAACTAATGAACAGGGAAGCCGAGCGGATTTCTCTTTTGCACACAAAATTTTGTCCGCCTTCATAACTTCGGAAAGTATAGATGAAAGAAGCCGAGTCTATTCTATAAAATTTACGTTGGATAAGAGGTTCTGATAGCGGCGACTATGAACAATACGGTCTTCTGGGTTATAATGAAGTGTAGTTAGAAAAAAGTCCTATGTTTCGGATAAACATACAGCCTCCATCTTCAGGAATGAAGAGTACATAAAAATCAGTAAGAAGCATGTGGCAAGTTCAAATTTTTCATAACAGAAGAAATGGTTCATATTCTACCTGGAAATACAGTAAGTCTATACGCCTTCAGGAATCAATAACACTGACTACCCTTCGTTAAATGATAACGACGCTCGTAGAGACTGAACAGCCGTTAAAGCCGTTATGTATGTTGAAATTCAACGGCACAGAACATTCATCTTCAGTCTAATATGTATAAGAAAATAATTATTAAAATATATTTTCACGTATGAGGAGTTTGCGTGACTAATAATAACGGGTTCTGGTTTGGATGATTGGAATTACTGACGCCTTCTTTTACAGTCGCTCTTAATTACGATCGATTATAACAGCTCACAATCAATGACTGCCTAAGACTCGCTCCATTTCTTACTGGACTATGGCTGTCTTTTCTAGTCTTTCTTCTACTGTGACTGATTTGGTTCTGATTTACGAATCACTCACTTCTGCTTCACGAATTCCGAATGCCGAATGACGACTCACGAATGAATGAATTCTGAGTCTGTGTCTTATATTACGACCGACGGTCAGTTGGTCAGTCTGTCTGGGAATAAAGCACCCATGTGGGGTTTACGACCAGATTTTTATTACTGACAGTTACAGGTTTGTTGACGTGGGGCGCTCTCTCTGATGAGAGGACGGGTGTCGTTTACCATTGCTCCTGGCCCTCGCCAGTGCAGTGTATCTCGGGTCCGAGTCACTTTGGACTCGCGACCATATTTTACTGTCTCAAATTTGAGACTTCCCTTGTCGTCGCCTCTTACGACTCGCGGGGTCACGCTGGAGGTATGCGACACAGCTTCCACGCGGGTCTGAATGAAGTCTTCTCTGCATGGCCGCTTATATAGTCTAGCGATATCCACGGAAAATATTGATTGCTCTTTCGTATCCGTCGAAACCTTTGTTGAATATCTGTTTACACGGAAAAGTGTTTTGTAGTGAGTTGGTCTCTATGAATCCACCTCCACGGAAACGTGTTTTAATTTTGCAGCAACGTTTTGGTTTCCACAAGTTTACACCTTTTCAATCCCGTATCCATGGACAAGTTTGTTAATCACCCAGTGGTGATTTGTATCCTCGAATCGTATCTCTGAGAAAACGCTTTTTTCAATTCGTCTCCATGCCTCGGCTGATTTAGCCCCGGTACCAAATGGATAATAGGCTGAGCGGGCCCAGAGCTAGTCTGGACACTGTGGAGAAGAGAAAAATCTTGCCCCTACCAGGAATCGAACCCCGGCCGCCCAGTCCGTAGTCTGTCGCCATACCGAATGAGCTATCAAGACTATGACATACAATGTAGGTTCTGTCGGTTCATGATTCAATATTTACAAATTGCAAATACGTTTAACAAAACAATTCGCATTAACTGAAAAGCAGTGTTTCACAATTCTGTGTCTAGGAGCACTGTACGTTCTGTATTTCCTTGCTTCTTCCTATTCCTTTACTTTTCCGAGCCACGGTATATGTGACTTTTGCACGCCTCAACCGCAAATTCTAGCGGAAAACGTTATAAAAAGAAAATCAACGACATGGACACAAAGACTGCTTGGGGAGGGGGGAAAGGGATCAGCCAATAATGTATCTAAAGAACTTGAAAGAGAGGGTGGTGTACATTATACGAGACGTAGTTAATTAGATTCTTCAAATAATTAAGTAACGTAAAATCATAAATGAACAGAGATATTTGAATTTAACAAAACTTCTTAGTAAAACAAAAAGTTAAATTATGCATTTCATATACTCTTAATAGTTTCTTTGTTGTTTCTTAAGCGAGATGGGGCAAAATAAAGAAAATTCACGACGCAATTTGCTATATTTTACCTTATGATATTTCTAAATTAAAGCTAGAAATTAATTTGATTGTTGGCTATACTGCAGACGATCATTTAGCGAATGTCAGTTTGAGACCAGGATGATTTCGAATTTACACCTCAATATACAGGGTGTTTCATGACTTTAGGGCATAACAGCAAGAGGTGATTTCCTAGGTCTTTGTGATCAAAATTTCATATAAACATGTGTCCGATTTTGGACGGTTACGGAGTTATGACCGTTTAAAACTCAGAATAGAAGGTAACGATTACTGACAATAAACGGAACAAAA